AAAAAAAAAAAAAAAAAAAAAAAAAAAAAAAAAAAAAAAAAAAAGTGTCCCCCCGATGAACGCGACCCCCCGGCTAATTAGAGCTTGCCCGGGTAATAGTCGCGAGGAGCGGGCTGGCGATACATGTGCAGCGGCGGAGTAGGAGCGGGTTCTCGATTAGACTCGTCGATTAATCCAATATTCCGCCGAGTGCCGATTAATTTTCGCCGTTTAATCCTCGAGCACCGGGGGCTTCGTCATGCGAGTACCAGTGCCAGTGTCTCCCCGGCCGCCGGTTCCACCGCACAAGTGCACGCGCTCGATCGAAAATTTGAAGGAAAAAAAAAAAAAAAAATCGGTTCACAGCATCGGCAAGTCACACTCCTCCTCGATCCTCGAGACACGTGCAGCCTCGTCGATTGTTCTGTGTGGCAGCGAAATCTGCGCCAATTGGTGCCAATTTGTTGGTGTATATATAATGTATGTATGTGTGTGTGTGTGTGTGTGTGTGTATCTCTCTCTGTCGGGCACCGGTTATTAAGAGCCTCGGGGCCAATTGGTGGTTGGGGGTGCGATAGCGCGCGGGTGCTCGTTAATAATTGTTCCTTTGGTGCAACGCCGTGGAAGGAGTAAGTATACACACGAGGAAAGGTCAAAGGAGATTCAAGGAGAGTGGCCAGACCTGACGCGTCCGATGATCGGGTGGCGACTGCGACGGGATCCGGAGTCGCGCAACAACTAACTCGGGGACGTGCGCGTGTGATGGCCCCTCTTCGATGGGAGTTGGTGTATAGAGAGACACCGTGTGCACACAATGTACCCATACGCGCGCAGCGTGCCACGGGTTTACGTAATCTTTTTCTGTATACTCGGGGGGGGGGGGGCGCTTCTCCCACCGGCCAATCGGGCGAGGAGCCTCTCTGCTCCCCTCCCCCGCCTCTTTTTTTCCGTAGTTTTTTTTACTCTTCTTCCTCGTCCCAGGGACTGCCTACTCGGGGCTGCTGGTGCCGACGACGTGTTGTCCGTCACGGGCAGGGGTTGCATTGCCACATGTATAATCATTCATGCCCGATTTTTTTTTTTTTCACCTCGATGTGCGCACACATCTTACACTTGGGGTAACAACGGTGTGTATTTTTAGTCATTCGATCGGTATCGACATGCCCCTGGAAAGATCGGGGCGTAGCGAGCACCCAGGAATCGACAATTAACTTCATCCTCACATTTCCACGGATGTCGAACGTTATTACCTTTTGCTCGTTTCACGTCGAAACCATCCGCTGTGGCGACTCGCCCGATTGGGGTATAACGTTCGGAGCAACAATGGCACTCGACGCGACAATAATTCATTGGCTCTCTCTACTCGCTCCATACTTATTTTCTTACACATGGCACACGCGACTTTGAAACCAGCCGAATTTCACGGGACACCAGCTCTCAAACCGTAACTGTATATACTATATATATACAATGTATGTACATATATATGGCACCCACACACGCGTTTTTCATGGTTGGCCACACTGACGTATAATCATAATACACTTGGAAGCACAGGTTGGAGGCGTTTCACTGTAAAATCAAGGTAAAAAGCATACGTAAGTATAGACGGTCACTTGATTCGCGTCCTCTTGGTCGCGCGTTCGCGCGGATCGAGCCGTACCGATCTCCGACACCTGCACCGGCGCACCTCCCCGTATCGCGTTGCCAAGCCCATGCAAACCCCGTGCATCACCGGCTTATCACCGCTTGTCGGAGCACACCACCGAGGAGATGTTCCTCCCCGGGCCGGCATCTGGTCACTACTGCTGGCCCGATGGCTTTTGGCTCGCGCACTATGTACTGCCGCTGATGATGCCGTTGCTGATGACGATCATGATGATGATGATGATGATGATGATGCTCGTGTGTATACTGTCACTGTGTGTACTGCCGGGCTCAATGAAACCGGCAATCGCCAGGAATTGCCTCGAATTGGCCCAATCAAACTACCCCCATTCCTCTACGTGTGTGCATTTCTGTGTGCTTGTGTTTGCGATGCACGACGTGCGTGTGCGTGTGGTTCATCTCCTACGAGGCGCGTATACGTATATACATTAATGGCTAATTTTCATCTCGTGTGCGTCTCTCGCGTTTCTCCGGCTGATCACGCGTATACAACTACCTACGTGTGTTGTTGTTAATTGCGGGCGCCCGACCGGTGACCGGTAACCGCTCGGAGTATCATGTGTATGCAATAATATTATACTCCACGGAGGGCTATACACTTGTGCAGGCAAAAGTTACAAGTCGAGTCAATTAGCGACAAGTCGAGGATTATTACACATAATATGTATACCTATGATGTATACATGAGGTGTATATATGTATAAGGTATTTGTATAGAGTAAGCAAAAACTGAAAAATCATACGATACGTCGTTATTTTACCTTATACCTGCTTCGAATGTTATTCAAATGTACTTTGGTATGGGCGTGTGTGTGTGTGTACGAAGATGTTTTTTATCTCAATCAATGGGAGTCGAGTGGGCACTCGATGGTTAATCATCAGAAATGATATTATATCCATTGCACGGACGATTAAGTATATATAATTGTGTTTATCACGTGCGTTGATTTCTACGATGGGCCAATCATTTCGTTGGGCCCCAAAAAACGTGAATTTTAATACAGGCTGACTGCGGCACTCATCCTGGCACATGCCCGACGCGAAGTGCATGCACAAACCGTACAATTGCAGTTTGCATGTTAATAAAATTTATGGGTAGGTATGTACGTTTGAAGCGGGCAAGGGACCCGAAATCACTACCTTTGCGTGTAAAAAAAAAAAAAAAAAAAAAAAAAAAGTACCACAGCAAGTATAATAAATAACCCTTCGAAATGCTATTCATACATACGTATCCGTATACAAACCCTCATTGTAATAAGGTAAACATGTATATACACGCAACGCACGAAATAAACGGGTATAAGTATACGTTTATAGGTATAATACACAAAAAGGAGTCTCGGCGCGCGTCTCCCACGAGCCCATGACAAAAGCC